CATTTTAACTTCAAACGCTTGCAGCCAATTCAAAGTTACAAACCCATGAATAAATAGAAATAATATGAGGACTGGTTTTGTGCATTTGTCAAATTGTCAAGACTTTCACCCAACAAGCTCCTTTTTGATCCAAAAATGTGCAAAAGCAGATGTAGAAGCTGTTCCCACAAACCCAGGGTCTATTGAGAGCAGCTGCAGGACATGTGGCAGCCGGGTTTAGCTTTCACTGCCGTTGATACAAAGGACAATCTTAATATGAATGCACACCTAAAACATTCAGATAAAGCAGAGCAACTCAGTGCTCAGTGTGTCAAGTGTTGCTGTACCTGTGCAGCAGCATCCTGAGAGAAGATGAAGGAGTTCACGTGAGACAAAGCAGCCACATATAAGACAGGACACCAGGAGCGCTTCAAAGTCCCAGTTACCAAAGAGCGGAAGTAGAGACGGAGGAGAGGGAGGGAATCTTCAGGTGGGGAGGTGAACCTCTCGATAGGAATGGACAGCTTCAAATGACAAGACAGACATATAAACAATAAATAACTTATTATAACAGGAAGTGGAAAAATCACTTCAACAGAGATCATTACGCCATCATCGTTACCTGTTCTAGAGTGACCCCCAGAGACCTCAGCATCCCCACGTGCTCGCCAAACACCGCCAGCCTCATGGTGGTGCTGTACCTCCTCTGCAGGGGCAAGAGGACCCAGCAACCAAACAGCCGGTCTCCAAAAGACACAGCTTCATACTGGGACACAAGGGCTGAATACAAGTCCTGGAATGAGGCCAGACCTGGAGGAGGGACGTTCAGGTCCAAAGAGTCCAGCTTGGTGCTCCTGAAAATGTAGGGTCACTGTTAACTTTTAGAGATTAGTTGGTGTAAAAGAAAAAGCTAAATGTGTCATATCAGACCTGGTGAGCAGTCTGAACAGACCCCAGGTCAGCCTCTGAACGGGTCTCTCCAGGAACAAGTCACTGGAACAGAGGAACACACAGGACAGGCGGGCGAACTTGGCGACAGGGAGGACCACCTACAGCATGACACAGAAGCAATCAATTTATGTGATAAGGAAACAGATCTACAGAAGAAACATCTGAAGGGTGTAGGTTTTCTTTGTAACTCCATTGCATGTACAAAGTACTTCTCTATGAAAATTGTGAACTATCTTAAAACATATGTGAACTATATTTTAAGACTAGCACTAATAAACTGACAAATAATTGACATTTGATTTACTGTGAAAGGAGAATATGAAGTAAAAGTTATAGATTTTGGATAACTGCGCCTGCTAGTCGCCTAACACAGCAAGCACGTCACACATCCTACATCAGTTTCTATAGAGTAAAACAAGCACATATCAAAAGAAGTCACATATTCAGACACTCGGTGACTCCAGAATGAATACAGTGAACGTTTATCATGGCCTCCAACTCTGCCTTCCCCTCTTTACCACCCCTCTGCCTCTTTCTGTGTGAGACCGGTGTGTTGGGCTTAGAGCAGAGTCCCACCTTCATCACATCCTGCTGTCAAGACTCACTTGGATTAGAAAGAGCTTGGTTCAGCTCCAGGTTTCTCTGCTGTTCTGCACAGCCAGCAGTCATCCACTCTTGGCAGGTCTAGTGTTAATGTGTTTTTGCCGTGTGTAGCACTTTGTAACACTGGTTGAAAACTAAAGTGTTACTATGACAGCATCTCACTATCTCACGCACAAAAAAATTAGTGTGCTTGTTTGTCTCTGTCCATAAACTCCTCCCACACCATCTGGAGTTGAGCAACCAAACTTGGTATACAGGTGCATTTGTGGCGCTTGAAGGTTCCTATCTATATCATATATTAAAGGTGTCATTATGTTGCTTAGCAACTGCCTAGCAATGAACTGAAATGGCCTATGTTTAGCAATTATGGACCTGT